GACTTTAGCAGAGTTGATGAACTGCTGAGTGGATTCATTGAGTTTCAAGTTGTGTTTCCCCAGCTGCACTTGGATGCGACTGGAAAAGAGAAGGCAAAGGTGTGTCTTTTACTGCTTCTGGCAGCTTGAGAGAAACCTCCCTGTCAGTGAATGCACTCGCTCCAACATCACTGCCACAGAAGCCTTCTGGGGCAGGGGATCTTTCGTGTCCTGCAGGGAGCCCTGGGGATCCACACCGAGATCTTAACCCACTCCCAGTCCAGGTGGTGAATTTCTGCAGGTTTGTAAATACATGACAGCAGTTGAATACATAGCAGCCCCCTTTCTACAAATGTTCTGGGACAAGGGAAATTCTTCTGGCCTGTTCTCCAGGGACAACGCTTTAGCAAGATTCGTGCAATTGATATGGAATCACAGCCTGGAACTGGTTACTTGACTATCCCATTGTTATGTCAGAAAGTTCTCTGCTTTCACAGAAACATTTGCAGAAGTGGAAAACCCAACAGCATGCCTCGGCCCTGCTTCCTGAATGGTCCACTCATGCCTTGGCCGTCTGTGGTCAGGATGGAGGCAGTTACATATTTCTGTCTCAGAGCTCAGAATTCATACTAGAAGTAAACTGGAAGACAGATGGGGCTTATAGAAGGATGTAATTTTTCCACTCACGGTCTGTAGCAGTGAGCAGCCGACAGGACCCACTGGCTGCTGATGAGGGAACCTCCACAGACGTGAGATCCAGCAACATTCAGGGACACTTGATAGGGCACAGAGTGTTCTGCACAGGTGTAGCCTCCCACAATCTTGTCATCATCATCTTCAGCAAAGGTGGGGAAGGCAACTGGGAGACAAGAAATGCCATGTGTCAATAGCTGGCCTAAGGTAATGTGGCCTGTAATCTGCCCTGTGACTGCCTGTCTGAACCCCCTCACTTGTAGGCTCCCCTTCTACGGGCACTCAGGGCAGCAGTGGTGGGCAGGTCTAAGGCTCATTCATTTGCTGCACCCTTAAAGAAGGGGATCACACCTGCTTTGGTGCCTCACATCTGTGCAGCTAAAGCCTTGCAGGCTACTCCCTGAGGGAACATAAGGACATAGAAATGTTCTTGTTGGATCGGATCACGAATGTGTCTTTCCGAGGGTCCTGTCTATGAAACAGTCAAGGGTTGACGGGGGGAAAAGGTCAAAACAGGTGTGCAGTGCTATTTTCTTGGAGCACCAACCCAAGGTCCAAAATTTTGCAGTTGCTTTTTGACTTCCTGGGCCAGAACTATTCCCTGTGCATTCCTTAGTCCTGAAGAAGGAGGCAGCCGATTTCTGAAGCTATGGCCACACCTCTACAGCTGGGTCAGGAACTCCATGCCAATGAAGGTGTTCATTCCCCAGCTTGAGGCACAAGGCATTATGAAGAGACAGAAGATGGAAGTTGCAGGGCTCTGCCTTCTGCAAGTCAAAACTGGACTTGTCTTTCCCACATTAGGCTACCTTGCAGTTTTGCTCAGAAAATCATCTTCCTAATAAATGGCAGAAATAGAAAGAAAAAATATACTCACCAGCCACCCCAATAAAGGCGAGAAGCAGCAGGCACTTCATGGTCTTGGTTCAGCCTCAAGCCCAGACTGGCTGACTGGATGTGGGAGCTGCTAGAAATACGTTTTTGGCAATCTGGTTATGGTCTTATCTCTAGTCCAAGGTTTTCTCCAGAGAAAAGTACACAGCTGAAAATTTGAAGATCCAAATGTGGGCATTATCAGGCATTGGGAGAATGTACAAATAACATTTCCGTTAATCATAAACCTCTGCTAAGATAGGGAGCTATTTTAATTATTCCGTAAGGTAGCCTTCAATCTAACAATACCTTTTGGCTTTGCGAGATGTGTAGTTGTTTGTCTGTCTCATTCTTATATAGAACGCCTGTTGAGAACAACTCTCAAACCTCTTTCCGATTCCTCTGTGCTGATGGTATCTTTCTTAAAAATGCATATTTTTACCTGAGGTTGGATATTTTAGGTAGTGGACAGAAAGATACATTCCATTGTGGATACTAAATGCATAAAGCAAGCAGGGAACAAAGCATGTGTGAAATTAAGTCACACAGGCTTCTCGCTCTGGCCTGGGAAAGCATAAGAAGGAATCCCAACAAGCCTTGGAAAAGGACAACAATCGGTAGTTGTTGTTTAGTCAAGGAGTGGTGTTCCACTTAACCAATGATGGTGATGTGTTACTTTAATGATCAATGAGAGTTTTACCTCTCAGACATTCTCAAACGTGTGTAAAAGAAGATTAAGAATAATAAACTTTGCTCTCTTGAACAATGCGGCTAAGAGAGTCATGTCGCACTGCTTCACCATTCCTAATATAGTATGACATTGCATTTATTTGGAAAAATAAATCCAGCAAACCCAGCGGTTAACATTTTTAAGTTTCTTTTAGCAAATTCCTTTCCTTGAATAAGTTGTGTTTTTATCAACACACTGTTTTCCTAAATCAAATTCCTCCATTGTAATTTCAAAAGGGAAGGTAGGAAAACTATCCGTGCCCCCCACCACATCCCAAGTTAAATAGTTAAAATGTGTGGGAGTGCTCAGCATCTCCCTTTTCTAATTTCTCTCTCCTAACGTGTGTTAAAATATCTGCCTAAGTACCAAACCATGCTTTTATTCATCTTTGGAATATTCTACAGAGACTCATTTTTGCTACACAAGAATTTCCATATATCGGTGATGTTTATGAATGTAATGTAGATGAGCAATAATGCTGTGAACACAAATAGTTAGATCTTCTGAAATGCCTCTCTGCAGAAGTGGGGATTTCTGTCATGACGTGTTGAGATGGAAAATGAGGGATGGGACCACCATGCTATTTAAGATGATTTATTGCTCAAGTAAGCCAGATATTAGTCTTGAAGGTGTGATATTTGGAGAGGAGAAACAAGTCAGCCATAGCTCAAGGTAGTCACGGGTTTCTTCTTCACACAGCAATATATAACATTTTGGTCCAATAGACAGCTAACATGAAACTTGTTTCTGCTTCATAGCCTATCACCTTTCCCTAATTTTGCTGCACTGTGCCTGTCTTTCAGCCAATAAACTGATAGGTCACGTACCCATACACACCTTTATTACACCTTCTAGATCCTTAGCCTAGTCTGTAGGTCGCATTATTACAGCTAAACTTCTCACTATTTTACCTAATATAATTTCTTACCTACTCAAGGCATATTCATACTTGCAATTATAGGAACCTAAGTTTATAATTTTTCTACTTGATGTCTGTGTACTTTTGCCATTACATTAACTCAAGCTCTTTCTGAGGCTGCAGCTTGAATCCTTCAGCATCTGTGGTAGTTTCTATTTTTCCGTTTCCCACAGACCTGCGGATCCTGATGGACGCAAAGCTGTCCGTAAGTCAGCATGGTGTTCTGGTGGCCAAGAAGCCAATGGTGCCCTGGCGTGCATTAGGAAGAGCATTGCCAGCAGGGTGAGGGAGATGATCCTGCCACTCTACTCAGCCCTGGTGAGGCACATCTGCAGTGCAGTGTCCACTTCTGAACTCCTTGGTACAAAATGTCCAAGGAGCTCCTGGAGAAGGTCCAGAACAGGAGAATAAAGATGATGGATAAAGTGGAACACCAATTTCCTGAACAAAGCCTGAGGGAGCTGGGCATGGTTTGG